CTCTGATGTCAGTGCCGGGTTGGTTGACCAGTCTTGTTTACTGACCAGAAGTTGAATATAGTCAATGAAAGCCACAAATGCTTCACGGAAGGTGATTTTACTCTTTAATATTGTAAACAGTTGGATGGGGGAAGGGCCTTCTGTTCTTACCTTGTTTGTTCTTTCAGAAGCTGGTGAAGGTCCACCATTGCCCCTGCCTGAGAGGCCAGTGGTTTGCTCACCTGTCTGCATTGTGGGGCTGCTGCTGGCTGGTGCTGGGACTGTGTTGTTGCCAACCTTGGCCCACACCATTAGTGGAAATTGGCTGGCTGTTTAAATTCGGGAGGAATAGCATCGGCCTATCTATGTCCATTTTTGTCTTTTATAGTTAAAATAAAAACTTATGTGTAGACCTAATTTATAATAAAAGATCAAGTCAGATCTGCTCTCTTTGGGGTGGTCTTTTCTGTGCCTAATTTTACAGATGGGGACATCAAAACCTACTGCCCCTAAGAGATTTACAGAGGCCCAGCCAGCTGGTGGCAGGGGTGTGGCAAGACTCTGGTCTAGTTAAGAAATTACTCTTTCTATTTTCTCATGTCCATTTCTCTCTCTCTCTCTCTCTCTCTCTCTCTCTCTCTCTCTCTCTCTCTCTCTGTTGCTGACAAATGTTGCTTTTGGCCCCATGAGTTCTGCACGTGAAAAGAAGAAATGACTCACAGGGCAGAAAGATCGCACATGGAGTGCCTGCGGGGACCTCAGATAGTCTTATGGTCACCCTGTCACACCTGAAATGGAGGACACTTGTCAGGCAGGACATCCAAAAATTTCCCATCAAAATATGTCACACAGCAGAGGAGAGTGACTTTGTCATAGGGTCTTTGTTCCCAGACTGCTGAGGCACCACAGTAAACCTCCAGAGGTTTTTTCCAATGCAGTGGAAGTCCACATTAGTGAAAGTCCACATCTGTCCACGTTAGTACTGTCTTGGGGTAGTTCAGTTTCAATGTTTTCAGGGAGATGGCCAGTGGGAAGAAATGTACATTTCTTTTGATAACTTTGTGTCTTTGCAAAGCTGGGTTTTTAGTGGTTGTTTAGACCTGACTACTTCCCATATGGAACTATTAGGTATTGCTTTGGGCCTAGAATACCCCAAAAATTTTACTGAGATACCAGGGATTCCGTGAATTGAGAGAGTTTGGGAGCCTCTGTCCCATTGCCAAATTTCATCTAAATCCATAAGCTTCAAGTTAATAATTGATGTAAATTTTACATTCTGTGGCATAATGTATTTATTGACTGCCTTCGCTCATTCCATGGGTAGTTATTGAGCACTGGATTATGTATCAAGTAATTTGCCAGGAAAGTGTGACCCATAGAAGTGACATTCATGCTGAGGTCTGAAGACTGAGTAGGAGACAACTAGAAGAAGAACATTTCAGGCACAAAAAGACTCTGGAGCAGGGATACAAAGATGCAGGCTGGAGACAAGGGTGGGTGTTTGTGTGGCTTCAGTGTGAAAATAATGGTTTAAGTAGATCATCATAATGGTTTAACAGCTTATTCACAGCTTCAGACCCCAGGAACGATGCTCTGTGTCCTAGTGTAGGAAGTGTGGGGCTAAGGCTTTTCCCCCAAGTTGACTTCCTTCTTGCCAGCCTGCCAGCCCTTCCCACAATGTGCCAGATTCAGAGGTGCCCACGGGCCTATTCTTCCCTAAGGAGTTTACAGCAGAGCAAGGGAGAGATATGTGTTCAACAGGTCTTTCTACTCGGACGGGTACTGAACTTAGCCTTCCCCTGGGAAGCTGTAGTTTTGCCACTTGGCAAGGTGCTTACCTATTTGGATCATCCAATTACAAATTGCAGATCGGCCTCAGATAAATGATTGCCAGGTGTTTTCCAGCGCTCCTCTGTAGCTCTTGTCTGTCTGAAGTTTCATACTTCAGAGTCAGAGCTGCTGGGGACATTCTCAGTTTTGTTTTTAAATATATTTTTATTGATTTCAGAGAGGAAGGAAGGAGAGAGAGATAGAACATCAATGATGAGAGAGAATCATTGACCGGCTGCCTCCTGCAAAGCCCCCTACTGGGGATTGAGCCCGCAACCCAGGCATGTGCCCTTGACTATAATCGAACCCGGGACCCTTCAGTCTACAGGCTGATGCTCTAGCCCAGGGGTCCTCAAACTTTTTAAACAGGGGGCCAGTTCACTGTCCCTCAGACGGTTGGAGGGCCAGACTATAGTTTAAAAAAAAACTATGAACAAATTCCTATGCACACTGCACATATCTTATTTTGAAGTAAAAAAACAAAACGGGAACAAATACAATATTTGTATTTGCATGTGGCCCGCGGGCCGTAGTTTGAGGACCCCTGCTCTAGCCACTGAGCCAAACCAGGTAGGGCACATTCTCAGTTTTGTTGAGACCCCACATCTGAGTGCTGACAGTGGCCAGTGTACTGATGGGGGGCTTCGGGGCCTGAGCCCCACCCCTACCTGCTACAGGGAGTCAGTTACATTTCCAGTGGGAGTGCCTACTTATTTTCACTGTTGGGGGCAGAAATTTCTGGTGGTCTGACTCTGAACTAAGACAGAGAGGCCTGAGATATTGCAAGAAGCAGTAAGTGCAGGTATTAGAGACAGACAAGAGTGAAGAAGAGTGGACATAGCTTCACAAACTGTGTTCTAATGACGCATCTGTATTGTGCTTTTCAGATTATAAAACCACTCCGTAATCTGTATTACCAACCCAGCTACTCTAGAATCCTTCCTTTATTTATTTACAAGTTGATACTAGGTGCTCATTATCTGCCAGGCTGTGAACAAAGCGAAGTCCCTGCCCTTGTTGACTAACCCTGTTTTCAGGGAGATGGCCAGTGGGAAAAAATATATGTCAGGTAGTGATCTGTCTTGTGAAGGGGCAAGAGAAGGAAGAGGGACCAGATATGATAGCAAGGCAAAGTCTCTCTCAGGTGGTGATAGCTGGGACTTGAATGAAGTGAGAGAGAGAAAACCCTGGGCAACATGTTAACATGTGCATAGGCCTTGAGATACAAGGAGGCTTGGGGAGTAGCAAGGAGGCCAGTGTGACTGGTGAAGTGTGAGAAAGGGCAAAGTAGTAAGAAACGTGGTGGGTGGTAAGCAGGGGCCAGATCATATAACGCTCATTGGTCAAGACTTTAGATTTTATACTAAGTATGAAGCCATTTAAGAGTTTTGATTAGGGAAGTGACAAGATCTGACTTCCTTTTTCAAAGGATCCCTCTGGCTACTGTGTGGAGAAGGGCTTGTTGGGAGTTTCTTGCAGTGGTCTGGGTGGCTTGAACCCAAACATTATTAAAATAATGGGATTGTGAAAGTGCCGACGTGCAGTCTTCCTAGCCCTCCAAGGCACCATTGCTTTGAAACCACCTACCAGGAATGAGCTTTCTCTTCTGAGTTGTGCAGTCAACTTACACACCTATCAACAGTTTTAGCTTTAGTTACCCCTTGGTAAAGAAAGGGGGCTGGGTGGCATGAGTCAGAAGGGCAGAAGGACAGGAAGCAGAAGTCCTTTGACTGCTGCTTTGTGAGGCATGCCAGCTGGGGGCTTTCCCATGGCAGCACATTAGTCCTGACCAGAACCCGCTGCTGGTTTCACCAGAGCTCTGAGTGTCTGCTGCCTCATGATTTTGTGGTCCTTCCGGAATCCATCCCAGCAGGTCCTCTCTCCATGGTTTTGTGAGAGCTTGACAGAAGGCTGTGGGCATGACAGATGACACGACTGAGTTAGATAAAAAGATGACTAACGCTGAATAAATATTAAATGTGTTTATAAGTTAATACTTAAATAGCCCTCTCTTGGGCACTAGAGTTGAGTTTGTCTTATAACGTAAGATATCAAAAGGGATGAGTTGAGTTTATCTTAGGAACTCGGACATTAGAAAGCACCTCAGGTTAATAAAGCAAAGAATGAAGTTTGAGGGCCCATTCTGAATAACCCATTCCCAACAAGTTGCAGAAGGGAAGGGCTGATGCCAGGAGCCCTCAGATGCTAGGGTGCTTTCCTGGAGGCAGTGGCAGCTAACGGAAGTGAGATATGTAGCAATCTCCTATTGCCCGAGTTGCTGAGATATGACAGGCATTTCTGACTAAGTCTGGAAGCCATGCTTGTGGTGAAAGCAACCCCGTTGGTAAAAGCAGTGATTGCATAATGGAATGATGCAATTCCAGAGCTAAGCCTAGCCTCATTGATAGGTGGCAGAAGTGGGCTGCTGAGGTTTCTGGTACTCTTACTTTGGTCTTTGTTGACTCATATAACATCTACCTGTATGTCAGGTTTTAATGGTGGAAGAACCAGTTGAGCATCTTTCAAGGAAACTAGGAGGGTTGGTGTATTGAGGGGGTCCCCAGGACCATCCTTTGGTTTAGTGATTCACCAGGACTCATAGAACTCAAAAAAGCTGTTTTACTCCCAGTTATGGTTTATTATGGCAGAAGCGTTCATAGGGTGGAGAAACCAGGAAATCTATCTTTGTAGCTTCCAGTTGTCCTCTCTCGGGAGTAACACGGACAGCTCTTAATTCTCCCAGCAACTGTGTGTGGCAATGCATATGAAGTATCTATCACCAGCCAGGAAGCTCACTTGATCCTTGGTGTCCAGGTTTTGTGTTTTGGTGTGTGTTTTTTTCAGGGTTTTTTGGTCAGTCTTTTTGGCATGGAGCGCCAGTGTCTCTAATCTTAATCTCCAGCACCCCAGAGGTCAGACTGATACAATGAGATTCAGATTCCCAGGTATTCGCCTTAAATGACATTGCTGCCTAAACTATCTGTGTATACAGAGAAACTCTTACCAGGTAACATATACCAAGGGCTTAGAGGTTATTCCTCAGGAGCCAGCAGCTCCTACCCTGATGCTTGGCCTGTTGCTGCAGCCCATGGGCATGAGGCCCAGGCTGAAGCTGTCAGGGGTCTCCCCAGCAGGCCTCCAGTGGACCCTGCTCCTCCCTGCTGAAGTCTGTTATTTCTCTCCCCCCACAGGTTCGTGATCAACATGGGGGACTCCAACACAGATACCAGCGCCACCGGGTCTGAGACTGTGGCTGAGGAAGTCTCTCTTTTCAGCATGACGGACATGATTCTGTTTTCACTCATTGTGGGTCTCCTGACCTACTGGTTCTTCTTCAGAAAGAAAAAAGACGAAATCCCTGAGTTCACCAAAATTCAAGCAATGTAAGTGATGCTGTCGGGATCTCTCTTCCTCAGCATTCTGGAGCTCTGGGACATTTCTGGTAGTCCAAGCAGCATTCTGTACTTGGGCCTCGATCAGGAGTGAGCCAGCCAGGAGAGACACAGGTTCCCTGAAGCATTTGGGGATGAATCTTGGCTTTTGCCAATAGTGCAAACCCTATTCTTTTGCCAATAGTGCAAACCCTATTCTTTTGGGTTTTTATGGAGGCTCCCTTATGTAGATCTTTTTATGTTTACACAGCACTTTAGAGTTATGTCTGTCTTTTTAAAAAATATATTTTATTAATTTTTTACAGAGAGGAAGGGAGAGGGATAGAGTTAGAAACATCAATGAGAGAGAAACATCGATTAGCTGCCTCCTGCACACCCCCTATTGAGGGATGTGCCCGCAACCAAGGTATATGCCCTTGACCGGAATCGAACCGGGGGACCCTTTAGTCCACAGGCTGACGCTCTATCTACTGAGTCAAACTGGTTAGGGCTGTCTGTCTTATTTGAACTTCACAGGGACCATTCAGAGTAGAAGGCACCGTTTTACTGATAGATAACCTGAGGCTCAGTGATGTTACAGATGCTGCTTGGGATCATCTGCACAAGGCAGAGCTGGAACTGGCACCTTCCCAGCCTGGGGTCTTTCTGTTTACCCGCAAGATGATGAGACCTCGTTTCTTGTCTTCTTGAAGGAAATATTTCAGACGAGACAAAATGCAGCAAAGCAAGCAAGAATTTATTGGCTACAGCAAAAACACACTTGGGACAGTGAAATAAGGAGGGGCATAGAAGAAGAAACAGGAGAGACCTAAGTTGGCGGGGAGCTGCTTTAGCTCACTGGGAAGTCAGAGTAAAGGGGGTCTTGGAGACAGGTTCAGGGGGTTAGTCCAGAATGAGCTACTCCTGCTGGGTACTTTGCATTGAGGATATTCTCTCTCTTGCAGGTGGGAATCTTAGGGGAACTCTCAGGGAAGGGTCTCAATAGAATATTCATTAGCTTTCCAGGTGTGCTCTTTCAGGGTCATGGGCGGATTGGTTGGAGCCAGGACAGGGGTGATTAGTCAATGCAGCTGTCTGAGGTAGCCATGGTGTCAGTTGTCTGGTTTTGCTGTTTCTCTGGGCTTAGAGCTGAAATACAACTGAGGCCTAGATATTATCTCTAGGGAAGAAAAGTCAGGGGTCTAAACCACATGACTAGCTGATATGAAAAGTCAAGAGTTCAAACCAAGCACATGACCAGTGATATGCTAGGTGAGGAGAGGTTACCCTGGGGGCGAGGTCCTTGTTTTCCCAATTTTGCCCCTTGATAGGTGACCTTTTGTACCTGGTTCATGTTTTGCTCATGTCTGTGTAGCTGCCTATTACATTTCCATTTTGTAAACAGATGGGATCATAGAGCAAGACCATAAAGCAAGGCAATTACTCCTTTTAAAATTTTCTTTCCATTCTTTTCATTACTGACAAGAAGAAAGTTGCAGTTTGGTGCTAATATGTCCTTAAATCTAACAGTTGCTAATTTCTTTTTATAAGTGAAGAGGGCTATCTCCAGCTTAGAGTTTTGGAGAGTGACAATATAAGAGGAAAACTATTTTTTTCCCCTCAACTCTCACCAAGCAGTTCTCAAACTCTCCTCACACACTGGGGGGGAGTTTGGGTGTTAAGGGGGGGGGGGGATAAGGACACATTTGTAATACCTTAACTAAAAAAAAAAACACAAACAAACAAAAAAAACTCTCCTCACACCAACTGCCTAGAGTTAGATCCCACAGGTTAACGGCTCAGTCCCATATGACTCCCTGCCCCCTTTGGATGCCAGTCAAAAGTCCAGTTTGTCACTGTGCTTCTGACCAACCAGCTATACACCAGAGGTTCCCATACTTCCTCCTCAGGGTCGATTAATTTGCCACAGTGATTCACAGAATTCAAGAAAGCAGTTGACTTACAAGGTTACCAGTTTATTATAAAAGGATGTAACTCAGGAACAGTAGATGGAAAAGGTGAATAGGTCAAGGGATGGGGAAAGGTCACAGAGCTTCTATGCCCTCTCCAGGTGCTCCACTCTCTAGCACCTTCACCCGTTCAGCAACCCTGAAGCTCTGCAAACCCTATTCTTTTGGGTTTTTATGGAGGCTCCCTTATGTAGGCATTATTGATCAAATCACTGGCCATTGGGGATTAGTTCAATCTCCAGTCCCTCTCCCCTCCCCAGAGGTCAGGGATGAGGCTGAAAGTAAATCTCAGGGTTGGTTCCCTTGGCTACTAGCCCCATCCTTAAGGGCTTTCCAAAAGGCACTTCATTATAAACTCAGGTGTGGTTGAAAGAGACTTGTTACAAATAACAGAAGATACTTTTATCGCTCTTATCACTTAGTAAATTCTAAGGGTTTTAGGAGCTCTGGGCCAGAAACAGGATGAAGATGAAATATGTATTTTTAAAAAAAATATTTTTATTGATTTCAGAGAGGAAGGGAGAGGGAGAGAGGGATAGAAATATTAGTGATGTGAGAGAATCATTGATTGGCTGCCTCCTGCATGCCTCCTCCTGGGGATCAAGCCTGCAACCCAGGCATGTGCCCTGACCAGGAATCAAACTATGACCTCCTGGTTCATGGGTTGATGATTGACCACTGAACCACACCAGCCGGGCTGCATTTTTTTATGTCACAATATCACAGGCAGTATCCAACCTGACTTTACTAACACTGTTTTCTTTTTTAATTTTTTTAGCCTTCCGTAAAACTTCCTTTTAATAAAGTTTAATTTAAAAGGTGACTTAGTTGAAAGAAAAATATTAAGGAAGTAAGAGTAAAGATGGTTTTTAGGTATGAAAAAATGAGGTGCATCACTATCTCCTCAAGATTGAGTTCCATATCATTCCTGCAACCAGGTCAGGTTCTTTCAGGCAGGTTTGAGTGGATCTACCAGGCCAGGCTCTGCTGAGCGAACCCCAGGGCACAGCTCCTTGGGGAGATCCAAGGAACAAGTCTCAGGTGCAGAAGATGGGGCTATGCTCAGGTCAGAACTCCCGGGGTTGGGCAGGGTGAACATTCAGGTTTCTGTCAAGTCCTAATTCCCTATTCCACTTCTGGTAATAGTTTTTTCTCCCAGAAAAGTTATAGTCCTCCAGCTTTAAAGCAGATATTCAGGGAATACAATTCTTTAAGTCCTCACTTAATATTGTTGATAGATAATGAAACCAGTTTTGCCACAGGCTTGATAAAAGCAAGAGTTAAGGGGAATCACTAACCCCAATCTCACGGGGCTCTTGCAAGTATTAAATGGGATAATGTTTATGATGGTCGCCTCGCATTATTCCATGGTAGCTGCTTAGTGTTTGTGTCAGAACGTATTTTGCACCAAGCTCCAGCTAGGTGCTATAAGAATAAGAGGTGGCATTTACATTATAGAAATTGAGAAGTGAGGATGTTGAAGAGGACTTTTATTTTATTGTTTTTTTTTTCTGGGTTCTCTATTCTTTTTTTTTTTTTTTTTTTTTTTTTGCTTAAAGCATTACAAAGGGTATTACATATGTGTCCTTTTTTTCCCCCCGCCCTTGACAATACCCCGGCTTCCCCTACCCCCCAGTGTCTTATGTCCATTGGTTATGCTCATATGCATGCATACAAGTCCTTCAGTTGACCTCTTACCCCCCTCCCTCCTGCCCCCCAACCCTCCCCGGCCTTCCCGCTGCAGTTTGACAATCTGTGTGAGGCAGCTCTGCCTCTGTATCTATTATTGTTCAAAAGTTTATAATGGTCTCTATTATCCATGAATAAGTGAGATCATGTGGTATTTTTCCTTCATTGACTGGCTTATTTCACTTAGCATAATGCTCTCCAGCTCCATCCATGCCGTTGCAAATTGTAAGAGTTCCTTCTTTTTTACAGCAGCATAGTATTCCATCGTGTAGATGTACCACAGTTTTCTAATCCATTCATCTACTGATGGGCACTTAGGCTGTTTCCAGATCTTAGCTATGGTGAATTGTGCTGCTATGAACATATAGGTGCATATATCCTTTCTGATTGGTGTTTCTGGTTTCTTGGGATATATTCCTAGAAGTGGGATCACAGGGTCAAATGGGAGTTCCATTTCCAGTTTTTTGAGGAAACTCCATACTGTCTTCCATAGTGGCTGCACCAGTCTGCATTCCCACCAGCAGTGCACAAGTGTTCCTTTTTCTCCACATCCTCTCCAGCACTTGTCGTTTGTTGATTTGTTGATGATAGCCAGTCTGACAGGTGTGAGATGGTACCTCATTGTTGTTTTGATTTGCATCTCTTGGATGATTAGTGACTTTGAGCATGTTTTCATATGTCTCTTGGCTTTCTGAATGTCTGAAGAGGACTTTTAACAAGTGGTTTATGAAGCGCTCTCATGTGCATTATCTAATCAGGGCCTCTGCAACAGAACTGTGTGCTAGACAGGGTGGGTGGCCTCATGGCTCATCAGAGAGAGGCCACTGATGAAGAGGATGTTGGGGGAGAGGGAGACTCTGGCTGCCAGAACTTTTAGAGAGGTATTCCCCTGGTGGAGAGACCGGAAGATGTGCTGTGGGAGGTGGTTTTGCAAACGTCCTAAAAGGTGGTGATGCATCCGAAGGCTGAGAGGGCTTTGTCGTCAGAGGGCCAGAGGGAGGAAAGGAGGATGGGCAGGTGAGCCGGAATCAGCCTGTTCCAACTGGGGCTGATTCAGGTGATTTCTGGAATAGCAGAGTATTTTTGGTGGAAAAAAATGTGATACTCAAGATAAGGGGACCAGCATCCAGTTCCCTACTTATAGTAGCCCTGCGTTTCCTCATCTGTAAAATGGAGGTGTACCCCCCACACCCACAATGAGTGGATGTGGATGTTCCATGGGAGCACATGGAACTGCTGTTCTCCCTGTCACTTCACTTGCCTTGCTAGATGGACTTGCAATAAAACTCCTAGATTGTGGGAGCACTTGCATTTTGTAGATTCTAATTGTTTCTCTTTCCCAGGATGCTGAAA